ATATATATATATATATATATATATAAAATACACACACACACACACACATATATAAATTGCTTGCTTTCTCTAAATACTGTTGAGGGACACTATATAAATACTGATGAGGCACACAGAACATTTTATCTATTGATTAATCAACCAATAGATATCTCTATCTAATATGCAACCTTATGATTCTATTATAAACAATGGTAAATGTCAGCTGATTTACATAATATGAATTAAGAGGAACACATCTATTATAGAGTAAATGGTTGGCACAATTAAGTATGTTTCTTTACATACTACTATTTAGGTTTCATCTTCTACCCTGTATTTTTTTTTCTTCCCCTCATACACCAATTGTACTGCAGCTGATGAGACAACATCTGGTCCAACCTCAGGCATTCATTTACAAATAATTACTTGGCAAATTACTTGGCAACATAGTGGTGCCTGAGAGCCTAGAATTCCAAACTGAAAAACAAAGGCTGGCCTTAATTCATTATCAAACTCAACAGCTGTATTATTACTTTTTTAAAGAATGAGCAAGAAATGCCAAAGAATATTCTATACATGTTTGCCCCTTGTTAAAATAGCTTCTTAATTTACATCTTATTATTTTTTTTAAATTCACTTTAAGTGTAAAAATTTTGCCTCTATTCAGTCAGTATATGGTGGCATAAATATCTCCTTTTTTAGCCCTGTTTTTGAATTCTCCTGTCTATGACTTCAAAATAAAGTGGGGAAATAATCCTAAAAAGCATAAAGCAAAGCTATGTATGTTAGAACATTAGGTAGTACAGTTAAATATTTTATCATTTCCTGGGTAAAACTCTCTCTCTCCTGATTTTTCAGAACAGGATAAGTATTATCATACACAATCAGCCAACAAAGGCCTGGGAATCCTTCTGTTCTGCATACACAAGGGCGAGCTTAAAATTCTACTATAATTTTCATGTAATGTTTGAGTAGATTTCCTACTCTGTGACAAAGGTGGTAAATTGGCTGTGCCCTAGCTCAGGAAGAAGGCAGGGTGGATTTGCACCCTACAGACTAACCAAAGTAGATAGATAGATATAGCACAAGCTTTTGTGGGCTGAAGCTCACTTCATCAGATGCTGTGAAAAGAAAATATTCA